AAAGAAAGAAAGAAAGAAAGAAAGAAAGAAAGAGAAAGAAAGAAAGAAAGAAAGAAAGAAAGAAAGAAAGAAAAAGAAAGAAAGAAAGAAAGAAAGAAAGAAAGAAAAAAGAATAATCCTTTGCCTAGGAAATTCCTTCCTTCTTCAAGGGAAGGCACTCCCAAACACCTCCATGAGCTTCCCTTCCACACAGCTCAGGAGAGGCTGCAAGGTCCTCCCAGCGCAGGTGTCGCCAGCAGAGGGCGCACTCCCTCCCCAGTCCACCAGGCTCCATAGGAAATGCCAGGGCAGGGCTTAAAGGAAGGTTTATCAGCCTCCATTTTACATAACTGGGTAAACAGAGTCACAGCCAGAATTGGAAGCAGCTTTCCCAGGGAACGCCCACTCAGGAAAAGACTGTGGGTCTCCAGTATGCTCCCACAGCCCACTGTTTGCTCAGTGACTCCAGGGATGGTGCTTGTGACAAAGTTTTATTAGTCCTCAACAAAATGAGAAAAATACCAGCAACTGCATGTATATCCAAGAGTGTATATTGCTTATATACAACTGTGTGTGTGTGTGTGTGTGTGTGTGTGTGTGTGTGTGTGTGTGTGTGATGTAAATTCTTCCACTGACCTTTTCTGAATAAGGACTAGGACTATCCATATTCTCAGAGTATAGCTTCCTGATTTTTTAGTTTTTCAACAATCTCCCTTTAATGGTATTGATGTCACATAAGTTTTCAACATCCTTATTTGGCAAAATACAAAGTAATAACCCTAGGTCCTTTGCCAAAATTAAAGTATACATGCGTGCACACGCACACACATCCATACACCCAAAAGCTTAGAAATTCTTGCTCTCCAGAACCCACGTGTCGGTTTCTTTTCATTTTGGTATTTTTCCTATGGCTGTGAAATGACCCAGTCTCCATTAGAGCCATGGAAGAAAGTACCCCGAGTCTGTTAAACCCCTGCACTTGGGAGTGGGGAGTGGGGCACACAGATCTGTGCACGTGGTTGTGGCCCCTTAGGGATATTTAGGGCTACTTCCTGACACTGACAGCTTGCTCTTCGTGGGCAGGTACCCAGCTCCTGTTGGAGGCCTGTGTCCACGCTAGTGTGCCAGTCTTCATCTACACCAGCACCCTAGAGGTGGCTGGGCCCAACTCCTACAAGGAAGTCATCCAGAACGGCCACGAAGATCAGCCTCTGGAAAACACATGGTCTGCTCCCTATCCCTACAGCAAACAGCTTGCTGAGAAGGCTGTGCTGGCGGCTAATGGGTGGACTCTCAAAAATGGGGGCACCTTGTACACTTGTGCCTTAAGACCCATGTATATCTATGGGGAAGGAAGCCGATTCATTTCTGCCACTATAAATGAGGCTCTGAACAACAGCGGGATCCTGCCAAGTGTCGGCAAGTTCTCCACAGTCAACCCAGTGTATGTTGGCAACGTGGCCTGGGCACACATTCTGGCCTTGAGGGCCCTGCAGGACCCCAAGAAGGCCCCAAGTGTCCAAGGACAGTTCTATTACATCTCAGACGACACGCCTCACCAAAGCTATGATGGCCTTAATTACACCCTGAGCAAAGAGTTTGGCCTCTACCTTAATTCCAGCTGGAGCCTTCCTTTACTCCTGATGTACTGGATGGGCTTCCTGCTGGAAGTGGTGAGCTTCCTGCTCAGCCCAATTTACACCTATCGGCCCCCGTTCAACCGCCACACAGTGACGTTGTCAAACAGCGTGTTCACCTTCTCTTACAAGAAGGCTCAGCGAGATCTGACATATAAGCCGCTCTACAGCTGGGAGGAAGCCAGGCAGAAAACCGTGGAGTGGGTTGGTTCCCTTGTGGACCGGCACAAGGAGATGCTGAAGTCCAAGACTCAGTGATTTAAGGATGACGGGGATGCCCACGTGGGTATTGTCGGGAGATGCCGTGAAGCTCCACCCTCCTGGCTTCGCACAGAAGGTGACAAGAGCACACGCCCAGGTCCTGCTGCCTCCTTTCACACAATGGTCTAATTATTTTCTCCATTGTCACTGAAACCTGTGCAGTAACTGACCTAACCAAAAGCTTTCTGTCCTACTCATAAACCAGAGGACACACAATGTGATTTGCTGTTTCCAATTTTCAGTGGCTGATTCTGAACCATGTGGGGTCTCTTTTAACTTGGGGGTCTCTTGACTACGATAGCTCCATTTCCCCTCTTAAATGAGAAAGCATTTCTTTTCTTTTTAATCTTCCATTCCTTCACATAGTTGGATAAAAAGAGCAATAAATGTTTGAATGTTTAACGCGGAGGGAGGTGTGGATTTTGTTAATGCATCCTTTCCTCCTTTCCCCTTCTTTTCCAGGTGTTGCCATCTCCAGTGTAGAAGAATAGCATAAAACCTGGGTTGGGGGGAGGGCAGAGTAGTGACAGGGCCAGGAAGCAGGGATGACTCCATAAGCTCTACTACTTTTCAGGCATGCACAACATGACCTACTTATAACACATATTACCTCATTTAATACTCATCAGAAACCCGTCAGGAGGGAGGTGCGGGGTGACTATTCCCATTTTACCAGTGAGGAAACTTGTTTGCAGTCGCACTAACTGATTAGTGGCTAGGCCTGCTACCAGAGAGTCTACCTTGAAAGTCCTTATCTTTCCATGGAAACATGCAGCCTGAACTGGTCTTGTCAGTGACACAGCAAAGCACGGGAGCATGGGGTGCTGATCCTTGCAAGAGAACCAGCTCTCTTGGGTTACCTTTTTCTTGCCCAGTCCCATGCATGGGACTCTAGAACCCAGGAGAATCGCCAAATGATCCTGAGTAGGGGTGAGTGAAGAAAAATGCAGCCAGCCATCTTCAGTGCCAATTTCCTTGAAGTTCTCTGTATGTTAGTCATTCTGGTCATTCATAACCTTCCATTTCACCCTTTCAAATCACACAATGAAGCCACACCATGGGATCCTCGGAAAAAGAGAACAAGTGTGAACATCTCCCAAAACATACCTTCTGTTCTGCCCAAGAAGTAGAAGTCTACTGTTCCACATCCCCAGATTTAACTGCTTCTCTCTTTTTTCTCTTTAAATCTCATCCTTTTCTCATTTATTCTTTCATCTCCTTAGCCTCTTTCTTTCCCTCCAAGTCCCCTTAAATCATTGACCTTCCCATTCTTCTCAAATTTCCTGAGGAGAGGAGGCCAATCAAGACAAGCTTGGGGACTTCAGTGATGACATAGTGATTAACTAACCAAAGAAACAACAGTCAAAGAAAAAAAAGACACCACTGTCGGAACATCAGGGACAGAGTTGAACTGAAGCAGGTGAGCAGGTTGCTGTGGGTCCGGAATGTGGGGAGGGGAAGCTGTCTCCCTCTGTACCTGGGTGTATCACAGCCATGATGAGAGTCACACCCAACATCGAGATGGCTTCTTTCTTACACAGGAAATTAACAGGTCATTAATCAGCTTAATTTGATTACTGCAAAGAGATAGTTTCAGCATTCATTCTGAAGGGAAAAGGGAAAAACATTCTGGTCCAGAAGAACAGGTTTCTACCACCATCGCCATCCCAAAGGACAGATGGTCAGCACAAGTATCAGGGTGGAGTGACCCCAGGCAGTGGGGTAAGGTGAAAAGTGGAACCCCATCCTTTCCTGGCTGCTGCACAAAATGCAAGAGCTAGAATCTATCCAGCTCTTGTAAGGCATGCACACCATCTATACGTTAATTTAAAATAGCAGTGCAAGAAAAAGAGGGTGGTGGAATGTTGGCCAAGGCTCGCCCCCCCCTTGTTTTTCTGCCTAGTGAAACTCCACACCTATTAACCCACCAGGGCAATTTTCACAGGGACGCGAAGAAAAAGAGCATATCTCCAACAGGCAGTGAGGGGTGTTTGAAGCAAGAGACGAGAAGATTGGATTGGCCAACGGTCTCAACTGAACAAGCACAAAGGCCTCTGAGTGTTGTGCCCAAGAAAATGCAACATCCCTTCTTACACCCCTGGGAGTGCCAGGTGGGCAGAGCTCCTGCACCAGGCCCCGCTGCACCTCACACAGTGCACCACACGGGGCAGCAAAGGCTCAGAGGGAAGAAGAAGGACGCCTGACCTGGCAGACTTTGGGGTCCTTTTTCTCCACCTGGGTGGCTCTGCAGGGTACCTGGCAAAGGGCCGAATGAAAGTGCAAGCAAGCACAGCCTGAGATTTTGCTGAAGGTACTATCTTGCCCTAGCATAACATGTGAAGCCTTGATATGAAGTTCTCCCTGTCCACCTCCCACCCCCTGCAGCCCCTGGCCCCAAATTCCTGAAGTCATCCTTATAGCTGGCAAAATGATTCACTACAATCAGGTTGGGCAGGCAGGGAACAAAATCCGCCTTCCCCTTCACCCTTAAATGGTGCTGGAATGTGGAAGCATCTCTGCCTCTCTCATATCTGTCTCCCTAGCATTGAGTGCTGTGCCAGGCACATGCCCACTTGGCTGACAGGTGAACTTCTCAGGGGCTCTGCTCTTAATGAGAGACAGCCTTGGGGTCCCGGGGAGGCCAGCCATGCACAGATGGTATCAGAACACCCAGGCAGAACCATACCCTGCTTCAGTTGTTGTAGGTCCAGAAAGGCGTCTCAGTGGAGTGTCTTCAGTGAATAAAAAGAATGCATGGAACTGCTTCCAGTGAACCCCTGGGCTCCAGGAACTGGAGTCTGTCAACCCCTTTACTTGTGTTGAACATTCTGCAGATATATGCGTGGGAATGCCAGCTTGAACACTGCACATATACTGATGCCTTTTTCAAACTTCTTAAACAGAGGGCAACATGGTATATGGAACATCTTGCTGCGCACCACATGGGCTTCCAAAGCTGAGCATTCCTGGCTGCTGGAATGAGGCAGGCCACCAGCTCAATTCAGAGAGCACTGTGAACAGTGGCCTGGATCTGACTGAAGGAGCTGGAAATGGAAACTTATTGGAATGTGCTTAGTTAGCAGACATGACCCTGGCACCACAGTCTGGCAGCAGAAAACTGCAATCTGCATGGTATTTGAGGTTGTGACAGGGAAAGAGAGGAGCAAACATGAACAGCAAAGCTAGAGATAGTTGGGCCTTAAGACTCATGTCTATAATCCCAGCATTCTCGGAGGCCAAGGTGGAAGGATCACTTGAGTCTAGGATTTCAAGATCACCCTAGGCTACATAGGGAGACTGTCTCTACAAAATTAAAACCTTTTTAAAAGCCAGTCAGGGCTTGGAGGTGTGCACCTGTGGTCCCAGCCACTCCCGAGGCTGAAGTAGCAGAATCACTTTGCCTGGGAGGCTGAGGATCATGCCGCTGCACTCCAGTACTCTGGGTGACAGAGCAAGACCCTGTCATAAAATAAAACAATAAACAAGACAGAAGACAGGTTACAGGGAAAAAAAAAAGAAGAATGTCTAAATGAATAACCTCAGCACTGGATTTCACATGATCTCTTTTGCCACACTCTGTTCTCCATTTGATTTTTAAAGTAAAATCAAACCCCACGTCCTGCCTATTTAAAACCTTCCTGTGGCTTCCATTCCACTCGCTCTACACTGTAAACTGATCTCCAGCCCTCCCAGGCACTGAATGATCAGCTCATCCTTCCAACTTGTTTTCTCTCACTCTCCCTTCTACTCATGATGCCTCAGCCAGATTGGCCTCCCTTCTTTTTTTTTTTTTTTTTTTTTTTTTTTGAGACGGAGTTTTGCTCCTTACCCAGGCTGGAGTGCAATGGTGCAGTCTTGGCTCATCGCAACCTCCGCCTCCTGGGTTCATGGCCTCCCTTCTATTTCATAAAGAAGCAGAACTTTCTTGCCTCTCGATCTTCACCTTTATCATTCCCTTTACATAAAATGGTGTTCCTCATCTTCTCATGGTTGGCTCTCAGTTGACAGGTATATCTCTGCTGAAATGTCCCAGCCCTGATGAGCTGAGACATCCCTGACAATCCTCTCCCAAATAGGCTTGGCGTCCTTCATTACATCACCCTGTTTTTCTGCTCCTAGCTGTTACCACAACCTGCAACTAACTTATCAGTTGTCTATTTTACTGTTTATCTGTACCTGCATAGGGACCTTACTCAGTCTTGATCCCCACTACATTCCCAAAAGCCTAGAATCATGCCCAATGTCATAGAGAGTTCCATAAATATTTATTAAATAAATTAATCTAGGAAGGCAAAGCTGGATGAAACCACATCAGCACATCTGAAGAATTATAGCAGTCAGAGGAGAAAAACAGTGAGCTAGGATAAATCCCAGCAGAATGCATCACTATATAAACCAACAGATCTAAAAAGCCTTCTGTCATTCCTTGACTGGACACTTTCCTGCACGAACACATGCCATAGTGCAGGTCCACTTTTGCCCAGATTAACCCACAGAGCCAGGATATGGGTTAAGGTACATCAGCATGGAAACGCCAAAAGAGAAAGCATTCCCACAGCAGTTGGCCTGGTAATAATTTTTAAGGCCAATTTGTTTAACGTAAATATATGTATAGAGTGTACACCACCCATACATTTATAAAGGAAAAACAAACTACCATAGTACAGCTCTGCTTTTCTGTAACTGCAGTTCCGAAACACAGAATTCAGGGAAGTGAACATCGAACTTTCAAATCAGCAGTCACTTAACATTTTTTTTTCACAAAGTGTATGACTCAAAGCCCTTCGGTTGATTCTTCTGGGAACGAAATATCGTAAAAGAGCAGATCGGTAATGGCTGAGACAGCCAATGGTTTACAATGTTTTGCACATCCTTTATGTTGCCAGGAGATGATTATGGAACGTTGCACTCCGGACAGAAAAGCAATATTTATAAAATATTCCCAAACAAAAATCATACTCTCTATCCTTTTTATTTTTATTTTTTAATTATACTTTAAGTTCTGGGATACATGTGCAGAATGTG